CGGGAACACCTGTAATTTTTATTTCTTAAGAATTGCCGTTTTCAAACTAGAACCCCTGTAGTTTAAATATATCATTCTTTATCAAAATTCAAATCAAGTTTTAAATGCTTATAGTCAGAGTCGACGATTAAATTTCTCAACGGAGCTCGAAATTCAGAGCCCGAGGAAATTAATTTTCCAATTTTGTACAGAACATCGTTTTGGGATTTCTGAAGTTTTGTAAGGGAGGCAAGGTCAGTGATATAGCATGAATAAAAAGAAGGTAAGATATTACGAAGATTGATACTATACGTCACAGAGACTTAATGTGGTGGAAAGCGTGGCTTTTACGAATTTGACGTATTAGCTGTAATTGGCTCATGGCCGATCAGATAACCATATTCTACACCTTAGTACGTCATGCGCGAATTCGACGAGATTTCGTCGGCTACGTATGATACCTTGTTTCGACTACTAAATTTTTCATCATCTGAAGTAGTCAAGAGTCAATAGAACTTTTATTTTTCCGTTAACGTTGAATTTTTATTTCTCGCTAGACTGTCGATCACAAAACATTGTTTTTTGTCCGTCTACGTATCAACCGTATTAACTGCATTCCCTTGCAAATAACTTTTAAAACAAAACCCAATTATTAAAATACACGAAATTTGGTAACAGCTAATTTTTCAGAAAACCTGGTCATAATTATCGTTTGGTTCGAACACCGTGACGGCCGCTCTGACATCATCACTGAAATGAAAAATTATTTTGGTTCTACTTGCCTCTTGGGGATAAGGATAGTGTGTGATTTATCTACAGTTAACCAAAAAGTCTATAGATCTTTGGGCATTACTGTAGACAACCCTAAATTTGCCATAGTAGAAAACAATTACTTTACATTTTTTATGTGCCTGACCTAGTAAAATGCGTTCGTAATAAGTTTTTACAAGATTATTTTATCTTAAATAACAAATTTATCAGATTTGCTGATGGTAAATAGATTTATGAACTGGACCAACGTAGCAAATCTGGAAGAACTTTATTAAAAATCACTTCAAAAAAACCTTTTCCCAAATGCATTTGAAAAAATGAGCGTAAAGCTGGCTACTCAGTTATTTAACCATTCTGTAGCTACAATCATTAAAACGGCAACAAAAACTGGAGAATTAGTTTATATAACGGCTGAAAATACAGCCTATTTTATTGAAACAATGAACAACCTATTTGACGGCTGAAATAGTTATTCTGCATATAGTTCGAAACCTTGTAACCTATCGTATTATATTGAGAACAAACAGGTGATTTTTATGCTGTTACACAAGGATACTAACTTTTAAAGAATGTAGCTAAACAAACTGCCAAAGGTAAATTAACGAAACCGGATTTATTCGATGGTTTTCTTTTTACCATAAATGCTGTTAGAGTTTTATTCCTATATTATTACGCAAACTCAACTTAAATATGTATTAACAGGAAGACTAATTTAGGATCCATTAGAAAACCAATTTTCTGTCTATAGGCAGAAAGGGATTTATAATCGAAATCCTACTGTTAGGGGTTTCAAAGCAGCTTTTAAGCTAAATATCGTTCCTATTTTCATGAGGCCTCCACTTAAAGCAAATTCGGAAACGAATTAGGATGAAGACCAAAATATCCTGGTGTCTGATAATGCTTTAAATGTTTTTAATAGAGCCTCATAATGATGAAGATACAGATAATGAAGAATACAATAAGAGTTCTGAAATCAATACTTCATTAGAGCAGACGCTTCCTGTAACATTAGAAGAATGTTCCACTATGTACTATTACCGGATACTTAATAAAAAAATGCGTAAAAAAATTCAAATGCTAGGAGTGTCAAAATTAATTCGAAGAAAAAGAAAATGTTTTGAATGATGAACACCACTCATTTTTTATAAAACTTATAATCTAAACGAGCAATCCGGGCTAAAATGTTCATCATCACTATTTGGCCAATTTGCTAGAATATCGCTACAAACTGTCACGCAAAAGAAAGTAGAATATTTTACAAAAAAAAAAATTTATAATTTGCGAAAAATTATAATTGAAAAAATAAAAAATTTTTTAGCAGAATGGTGTAATTGTAATAGTTACTGAACAGTATATGTTAGATTTAATAATTACAACTTAAATTTTCGAATATTGTTAGAACCGGTTCAAATTAGAAGCGGCAAAGAAGACGAGGAAACTTCAAGGCAGTAAAAAAAATGTAAAGTTGTCTAGTTATAGTACAAAATACATCAATAAATTAATTCCTTATTTTCCTTATATTTTTAATGTACCTTCTTATTATACCTAACAAAATATTTAATAATAATACATTTACTATTTAATAATAAATAATCTCTGCACGTGAAGTTATTTCCCCCAAGAAAGCTAATAATTATTGTAAACTTAGGTTATTTAAAAATCTTGTCTTTTATTAATTATAATAATATTATTTTATATTACCACTTTTTTTTATCCAATCTACCTACCTACATTCTATTAAAAACTATAGGTATAATAATTTCATAAATGACGGTCCTGGATAACAAACATTCATACGATTTTATTATTTCCATTATATTTATACGAAGATAAATGACAAAATTAGCGATTTACCTACATAAAGACAAAAATGTTAAATACCTACCGATGGCTTGCATGAAATATGCGTAATATGGTAGACTACCAACTTAAAGATCATCTAAGCGACTTCTAATAAATCGCAATTATAAAGTTGATAGTTGCCAGTTTTGTTAAATAGAGACGATGTACGATCCAAAAAATTCTCAAAATGTCAACGTTGTACGGTTAAACAAATAATCCTAACTTCTTTTACCGGCATCTAGAAAACTATTTTCTACTTAAGACTTTTTTTAATTTGCGCTTGGAACCGTCATGTGACGAGCATAATAAAATCAAACTTTGTTTTCATAAGCGTTGATTTACTAGATATATTTATACAATGGTATTACATTACTGGACGAACGAAACCTAAAAGGAAAATTCAAAATGCTCGTCCATTGGTCAAATGGTGATCGCAGGCCCAATACGCATGTGCATAACACAAAACACTTGACCGTACTACGAGTCTTTAATCGAAGGATATTTATACGTTTAAATATTTTTATGAAATTCACCCAACATAATTTAAATAGATTAACGAGTGTTAATCTTTACAACTGTATTATTTAAATAAGTCATAGATCTTAATTCTGTTTTATTAATTAACGTGATTTAATAAAATCTCTTAACAAACCCTGATTTTATTTACTAGCCTTATCGCCACACACTACTTCCATTTCACAGCAGGCGAAGCCAGAAGACGTGTCACAATATATAGAGTTTAATAATTTTAAGTTGGAAAATTATTTAAATAATATAAGTTGTGTTACTTAATTCTAAAGTAATTTCATTTATATATTAAATTTTTTGAAACAACTGTTTTTCTAATATTAGAATTTTCGAACTAATGTTTTCGAGCTATTGTTTTACGAATTAATGTATCTTGAGCAATTTTCTGGATACCACATAACTTGAAATTTTTCTTTCACTTAAATGGTGTTTCAGTTTCCGTAACAGTGTGTAGTCGCTGGAGGCCAAAATCTGGAGTGAAATTTCAGGTGAAATCTCGCTTGATAAATAGCAGCCATTTTAACAGAAGAGGTACGGGATCCTCATCTTGATGGAATAGCACACCTCTACACAATTTTCTACCATGTTTTTTCGTTTAAAGCTACACGCAATTTAGAAATTATTTCCGCGTAATAATTGCCTGTAATAACAAAAGCTGATTAACAATTTATCAATTAAATGATGTTTGGCAACTGATAGATTTATTCAACCCCAAGTATGTATAAGAAAATAAAGAAACTATAAAATTAAAAAATAATGAACGTGAAAACAGAAAACCCTGAATTACAACAGGTATGTGGAATTAAAATCGATAATTTTAAAAAATGAAATATTACAAATAAAAGAAGATCCAAATAGCTCATCACAATATTTATGAAAATAGAATAAATCTAGTTAAAATATTATATTAATACAATGATCAATAAAAACACAATATCATCTGTTTCCTTATGAAAGTATGCTAATACTTTAGGTGACAAAGAATTACCTTAAATTAAATCAGAACATCTTCAATAATTACTATAGTGAAAAGGGAAGATATACACATACATAGTGGACTGTTTTATATATATATATATATCTTGTGGATACTAGAATGAGATAAAACAAATTATTAGGGATTTCAATAAAAAAAACGTCCACGTATTATGGAAAAAACAGTAAAGTAAGTAAATGATCAAATTAGATGACCAGTCTCATTCATCAAAGTTATCGAGAACAGGAATTTCCATATTGTGTCAAAATAGGAAAAATAAAACCTCTTTTCAAGAATGAAGACAAAAAAAACAGCTGTGTTTAATAAGCGTGGGTTGGCCTTAGACTAGTCTGTTGGCCACAGATAATTTATATTTTGTATAGGTATGTTTATTTTGTTTTTGAATAGCTATAATATTAATTTATTTTTAAATAGTGATTTATTTACAAATTTAGGGCTGATTTCATAATGGATCTTTAATTTCATTAAGTTTTTTAATAAAATAATAATATTTATTGCATGATTTGTAAAACTAAAGAACAAAAAAAAGATCACAGTTACAAAATCAAAACAGAAAACTATAGACATGTCTCATTTCTCTCTGTATCTTTTTAGATACATAAAACAATTATCAAATTAAGAATGAAAGGTTATCACCACATCAATATTATTTTAGAGAGGGAAAATCTAAGGAGGATGCAATAAATATACTAACATCTATACAAACAGGTCTTACAATAATACTCTACACATAACATATATTGTCAAACTGTCAACAATTTAAATCTGAAAGATAACTGTAAATGGGTCAACCCTTGTACTATTTTATATTATTTGATACGCCCTGTTTAAACGAAATATTTTTGACCTTTCAGCGACATGACCGAGATATCAGTACATCAAGATGACCCTGAATCACAGCAAGACATGGCCTGTCACCACTATGGCGGTGGTACAGCTGAGAGTGAGTCCCCAGGGGGGAGCATACGAGATCATCGAAAACAACGCTCCATTCGAGGGAGGAAAGACTCCTAAGGGGCGAGACGAGGCGAATTTTGGAGACAACACGATAGCTGGCGATTGTAATAATGATGGGCTAGTCGTTCCTTTGTTAGAAAAACATCTGGAAATATTTACGACGATGTCGTCGAGACGCAAGACGACCATAAGGACGGATACCGTATCCACCATTTTGGATCCCGCTGAGTTCGATTCAGAGACAAATGAAAATTGTGGTAAGTTTTTAAAATGCCAATTGATAAATCAACTTCTATTTAAGAATACAACAAGATTCAAATTAAATAAAATATTCCAAGTAAAAATTTGTTAGGTTCGTACGTGTCCAAACGGTAAAAAAAAATAATGACGGTTTATTTTTAATCTGTCAGAAGTAACTAATATTTCCATTTTAGATTTTAACAAGTGAAAAATGTACCTAGAGTCAAATATTAAACGAAAATGCCAATGCAAAAGGTCGATTAGCTATGGTTACTTTACTGACAGGCCCGTTTGTAACAATTTCAAAGAGGAAATGTCTAAAATGAAAAGTTTTCCGAATTAGGGATTCTTTATATAATCAATCCTTCTGGTATATTTTTTTTTGTCGAGAACATTGTGAAAACAAATGAGAGTAAATACGATGGCAGAAAAACAAAACACTTTGTTGTGATTATTTTTCATACAGCCTCGCATTACGAATGTCAGGAACGGATTTAGTATCTTATTTATGTAAAGAAAAATGAAGAAGGTCGGTTTAGATTTGAAAACTAAAATATGCAGTTCTGTAAAATTTTCTTTCCCAACTCTCCCTACGAAATTAAGAAATGTATCCCCACATCCTCAAAGTAAAAACATACCAAAGAAAAATTGAAACAGTTGGAAAATAAATCGATTAGGTGTCGAACCTGGAACCCACTGAGCTGAGGCATCTGCATTTCTAGCAATTCGACAATTCGACAAGCATATAGCTACGAGAGTCGAATTTGCAGAAGTCTTCAGATTCCGACTCTCGCCCATTCTTTTATCGAACATTGTACTGTAGTTTTTGATACTCCAAGGTTTATATATGGTTTCAGTAGTTCTTCCTACTCTATATTAGAAATGTGCAAGTAAAAAATAGAATTTTACAAAAACTTAGCAAATTAATTCCTTTTAGCCATTTTTCAAATCTTTTTTTTTTGAAATTCTTTATCCCACTTAAACTTTAATTCCCAAGTTTCCTGTAACAACATTTTTGATATAAGAGTTACTGGGCAGGTATATCCTATAGGATCAAATACTCTATGGGCTACAGATAAAAGTCCACGTTTAGTTTTTAGAGTTTCTTTTAATTTAATAAGGGTTTATAAGAGGAAGAAGAACCATAAAAGAAGTTAATTCGAAAGCGTTTTCTTTAATAGCAAATCCATATTAATTCCTTTAGCACCTTTGCCAAAAGATATGATAAATAATGCAGTTGTTTTCGAGATATCAGGAGTGGATTTAGCTGGTCCATTATATTTAAAATACTGTTCAGAAGTATGGGCGGTTCTATTTACATGCGCAGTATTTAGAGCAATTCACTTGGAGTTGGTATATCCACAGATAATTTCCTATTGTCACTTAGAAGATTAATTGCCAGAAGAAGACGAATTTCAGTTTTGTACTCAGATAATGGAACTAATTTTACTAGTGTTAATAATTGCCTAAAGAAAACGGATTGGACTAAGATTTTAGATGAATTGTAGATTAGAAAAATTAAATGGATTTTTAATATTCCAACAGCTGCGTAGTGGGAAAGATTCTGGGAACGAATTGTATGAATGATCAAAAAATTACTCCGGTGAAATTTGGGAAAAGCATGCGTTAATTACGAAGAACTGTTAACTGTTCTTTCCGATGGCAAGGCAATAATAAATACTCGGCCGCTGACGTATGTTTCCGAAAATAATCAAGATTTAATTCCATTGACACCCTCGATGTTTCTTTATGACCTGACAACCTGTGAAATACCAGACTTGGACAACATCGACAGAAATCATATAATCAGACGATACCGATATTTGCAAAAATTCAGAAATGACATTAGATCTCGATTAAGGAATGAATACCTTGCGCAACTCATTTATCATCACTCATCACCAACAGAGAAAACTATCTATAACACGGAAAATTGGAGATGTAGTTTATGTGGAACAAGAAAATATAAAAATAATAAATTGGCCATTGGGTAGGATTATAGAATTAATAGAAGGAAGAGATGGAAATTGCAGGGCAGCAAAGGTACAATTACAGCATGGGGAAATATAAAGGCCTTTTTAAAAATTGTACCCATTGGAAGTAGACGCAGATTGCGAAAGTAAGGTTCATATTATGAATGAAAGAAAAAAGCGCTTAGAAAAGAAGGCGATTAAGCAATATTCAGAGCAGAAACGGAAGCTAGTTGGGAAAGAAAAAGATGATAAAGACGAAGTGAATGGACAGGCACGTTTTTAAGAAGGTTTGAAGACAAGAAGTGGACGTCTAGTAAAACCTGTAAAAATATTTGGGTTTAAGCTCAGGGGGAAGGATTGTTAGAGTTGATATATTATACTTACCCATATTATACTTATTGTTAGACTTAGTTTGAGAATTGTCTGTAATTTTTTCATCAATAAAAATATATTTGTCAAAGAGAAAATTATTCACGATTATTCCTTTTTTTACTTATTTCTAATACTCTATTTTTGGCAAGTTCGTCAACCTTTTCATTGCTCTCGATCCTCTGATGACCTGGCAGCCCAAATATGTTTCACTATGCTAGTATGCAATCCCATAATAGCCTCGACGTTACTTTCTAACTTGATATGGCCTTAAGGCTGTCTTAACAGTATTTGAATCTTCTAATTTTTGGTAGCTGTCTTATTGTTTGTTCCTGCACATGGCAAGATTGTATAATCCTCAGTCTGAAATACCGAAATGTGTTTTGATGTTACTTACCTAAGGTTGGTGTAAGAGTTTTTGATGAATACTCCAGCGCCAGTGCCTTCCGCAATCTTTTTATTATCTATGTAGCAGGGTTTTTGCCTATCGTTGGGCACTGAGTTTGTTTATGGTGATCTCCGTTCTATTTGACATTAAAAACTCAAACGGAATGTTGCAGGAGTACCGCTTAGTTATGTGATCTAATCTAATATGATTTCGCACAGTGTTTTTAATCTGTAAGCAGTCAATCTTGCCTCGCTCTGTTTAACGAGATGAAGTTGGGTCAAACCAATTATTGCTGATGTTGTTATCATTGCTTCCGTAATTACATCATATGTATGTTTATGTATCTTTCTTAGTCTCGTTACTGTCGCTCTTTTTTCTCTATTTGGCCACCAGACCAAAGCTGCATATGTCATTTACTTGTTGTTTTTTTCAATGTTTAGTTCAGGTACTTAAGTTTTGAGTTAATTGCAATCTTGAGATATATTACCTCACCGTTTGGTTGGACGGAGTTTTATTTCAGAGGTTTAGATGTTCTAGAGCTTCTTACTTTCTTCTGCGCGTAAATGCGTTTTTTAGTAATTCATTTTCTATCAATTTTGTTAGTTTAGTTTAGAGCATCTTGCATACGGTCTTTAGCTATAATGTTGTATAACCTCTGTAAAATGATCATATCATCAGCATATCCCAGGGTTTTGTGTCTACAATTTTTGAGAGACCCGAGCAGTCCACCCATGACTAGGTTCCACTGGAGTGGAGACAGTACTCGTTACTCCTTCCTGTGGGCATCGCCTCGAAATCCAGGATGCTATGGTCTCCACCATAACGGTTGCATTTAGTCACACATTTGTCCATGATTCCTCTATATCTTAGAGTGAGAGTCATCGCTATAAGATTAGATTAGGTTAAATTTAATTAGGACAGTGGATCATGTGGCCTCCCCCACCTCGACCTTTTCTGATCTATTGTGCATATCCTTAAATCGTTGTTTAGAGTACCTTGTCTAATTCGGTCTTTTGTAGTAGACACAACAGACTAGGAAGTAGTTTTCTGGCATAGCTTGGTTTTTCTTCTGTGTAAGGAATCTCAGTCTTTATAGACCTTCGCAGTAGCACAATACGTATTCTGTCGTTTCTTTGTCTTTATGACAGAATCGGCATAAGGTCTCTTCTGTCAGACAGATATTATACATATGTTTGTTAAGCCTACAATGTCCTGTTAATAGACCTACTAGTACTCTAGTATTTTTTCTATTAAGGCTTAGGAGATGTTCGGTGAGTTTAAGCGATGGTCCTTTTAAGAACTCTTTGGCCTGTCTCTGTCCTGGAGTTTTTTCACCACTCCTGAGATTTTTTAAACATCCACTGCTTTGTGCATGTTCTGATAGTGTTTTTATTACACCACAAAAGAGTTCTGAGCCAATAAGAGCATTTATGGCTCCTTCTAGGGCTAGTAAGTCAGCCTCTTCATTGCTCTGAAGTCCTCTGTGGCCTGGTACTCAGGCTAAGGTTGACTACCTAGCTCTGTTAGGGCTTCCAAACAGTCCCACATAAGCTTTGAGTATACCTGCATGGAACTGACTGCCTTTAACGTCGCTTGACTGTCTGAGTATTTGACAATAATTTTTTCATTTACCTTCTGTCTTAGTACCTCTTTTGCGCAATGATGTATTGCTGCTATTTCTGCCTGGAATACTGTCGCATTGAAGCTCATTGAAGCTCAGTGAAATTCTTTTCTTTTGCTTTGTATCGCTATAAGATACTCGACCCATTCATAAATTAACTGAATGATGAGACCAGAGAAACAGTTCATTATCTTGGAGAATTTTTTTGATTACAGAATAATAAGCAGAAACATCCATATCCAACTAAGTCATGCGATTTAAACATAAGGGATTTTTCGTACGGCTTACATCAAAGACTCGTTTTTTTTTTAACGACAATTTAAAATCTGGAAGCAGTGAAAAATTGCATAACAGAAAAGTGTACAACGATCAACAATTCTGCAAATATTGCATAACGTTTTTGCTGGATTGGTAAAAATAATTGGTTTGTGTTTAAACGTAAATGTACAACATTTTCAACAATTTCTTTAGTTTTATGTAAATTTTAATTACAATTTCGACATTATTAATAATTTGTTTCTTTATATTTATTGCAGTATCATTTCGAGGTAATAAACTATGTTTACGGAGAAAATGAAAACACATAAATCTCACATCCAACTTGTCTGTTTAATAAATAAATAAATCTTTTTTATGGTTCATTGCATTTCATACCAAAACATTTTT